AAATGGGGGGCAGCAGGAGAACCAATACTTACACCTGCTGAACCACCCCATACAAGAGGGACTTGAAGGCAACAGACCCTTTTATTTATTATCATTATTATTAAGGGACACGGGCGGCGCTGTGGGTTAAACCACAGAGTCTAGGACTTGCCGATCAGAAGGTTGGCGGTTCAAATCCTTGCGATGGTGTGAGCTCCCGTTGCTCGGTCCCTGCTCCTGCCAACCTAGCAGTTCGAAAGCATGTCAAGTGCAAGTAGATAAATAGGTACCACTCTGGCGGGAAGGTAAATGGTGTTTCTGTGAGCTGCTCTGGTTTTGCCAGAAGCGGCTTAGTCATGCTGGCCACATGACCCAGAAGCTGTCTGCGGACAAATGCCGGCTCCCTCTGCCAGTAAAGCGAGATGAGTGCCGCAACCCCAGAGTCGTCCGCCACTGGACTTAACGGTCAGGGGTTCCTTTACCTTTACCTTATCATTATTATTATCATCATTAATTATTAAATCTATATACCACCCTTCACCCAGAGATCTCAGGGTGGGTCAAGATAAAAATACAAGATAAAAGCACAAATAAATAGTTAGAACAAAATCAAAAGAAAACAAAAACTCCCTGTTTCCTTTTAGGGAGAAAGACTCTCCGGTGGCAGGGAGTTCCATAGAGTGTGAAGAAGGACCTTCTTTTCTCTGTCGTGAATCTTCTAAGAAATTGCAAGGACTGAGCCCTAATTTCTCAGAAAAGATTTTTCTTACATTTTTTTTAAAAAGAAGACCCCATTTTGAGCATTGCAGGGGGTTGGACTGGATGATTCTTGGGGTTCCTACTAGCTCTACGATTCTATGATTCTATGAAATGATGAAAATAGGTGGCCTCTCGATATTTCCCCTTCATTCCATCAAGTCTTTCATGGAAAACATTTGTGGCACATTGGATCATGTTCAAAAGATGACCCTAAGTGGGAAGGAATTGTAATAGTGGTCAAATCATTTCCCCATAATTCTTTCTTCTGGAGTGGATCTGTGGTGCAGCAGGAGAGAAAGTTAAAGTCTGGTCATAATTTGAACTTTTCAAGAAATCACAAGAGATCAAGCAGGACTAGCCTCCTGGTTCTGGCAATTTCATGATATTTCATGATATGGACCTATCTTTCAGAGTCATCAACAGAAGCCGAGTTCTGGACCTGCAAATTGACCAAAAATGTCAATTTCAGCCCAGGAAAACATAGTTTTGCGCATTGAGTACAGATCTGTTTTCCTGTTTCTTGGACACTTGCTTTGCCTGCTAACACGTTCCAGAGATGATACATGGACCACCTTTAATAGAAGCAATTTGGAGAGCTCTGTACTGGCATCTGAGATAGCAAGTATCTTGTGGAAGAACCAGCAGGCTGCTTGGGGCGAAATAATTGCAAAAATGGGAAGCAATCTGGAATTAGCTCATGATGGACAGACTTTTCCAAAGGCATACATGGTTAGCAGTAATGAGATCTTCCCATCAGACCTTTCCACGTGCTCACTTTTGAGCCACTATTAATTGGTTTAGAAAAGCACCACGATTGCAATTTGAAACTTTGTGTGTGACAGATGCAGATAGAATATGTGACTTGTGAGGTGCGCATGGGGTGGTAGCAGCAAGTGCTGTTATTCTTGGTCTTGCTGCCTGGCCCCTCCCATCATTGGACATACCCCCCCTTTCCTCCTATATATATATAAATGTAAGGTCATCATCATGCGACATTTCATATCACTTTCACATCTGGAGTTTTGGAGTACATTGTCCGCAAAATGCTGATGACACACATTTCTACTTCTCCTTTGCATCTGTAGGTGAGGCAGTGGAAGTAACGGATCAGTGTCTTGCCTCAGAAATATTGGATGAGAGCCAACAAACTGAAGCTCAGTGCAGAGACGACCAAGGCTCTGTTAGTGGGTGGTTCTCCTAGGAGGTTCCTTGCTCCTTGATGGGGTTACCCTTCCTCTTAAGGAGCAGATATGTAGCTTGGGGGTACTCCTGGGTCCTTTGCTGTTGCTTGAGGCTCAGGTGGCTTCAGTGAGCCTCAGCTTCACCTGTTGGCCCCGCTTTGCCGCTGTCGTGGGGTTGGGGAGCTGAGTTTGATGAATGGTAGGCAGGCAGGTAAGAAGTACGACAAGGCTGTATATTGTCTCCCTGTTTATTTAACTTATATGCAGAACTCATGCAAAAGGCTGGACTGGATGAATCCCAAACCAGAATGTACTTTGCAGAGTGTGCTGACAAGCTGTTGGGTGAGGGGCGAGCTGTGAGGATGGGCAAGTATTGGGGAGGTTTAAAGGAGGGTTGGGGAAAGGCATTGACGGGTGGGTGGGGTTGGCGACTGAAGTGAACAGGGGCAACGTCCCCTATAGAATTCTAGAACCAGGGAGTTGGTCTGGATGACCATCAGGGTCCCTTCCTATCCTATGGCCATGGAAGGGGGGGGGCTGTCCTTCATTTTAAACAGAGATTGGATATCAATCCCTGAGAGAATCTGTGATTTGTGTATTAGGCAAAGCCCAAAGTGATTGTTATGTATTAACATTAGTGGCAGTTCTCACTCAGGGCTTTGTTTAGTCGTTTAGTCGTGTCCGACTCTTCGTGACCCCATGGACCAGAGCACGCCAGGGCTACCGGTATGTAAATGAAGGATTGAAAATTGTCGCTCCTGATTGGTTAGCTAGTTGAATTAATTTTAGAATGAAATGATTTTAGAATATTGTATTATGTTATTGTTGTTAGCCGCCCTGAGCCCGGCTTCGGCTGGGGAGGGCGGGATATAAACAAAAATTTATTATTATTATTTATTATTCAGTCTGATTCCAGGAGCAGTTCTAACTGCTGCAATAAAGAGCTGTGAATCCAACAGAGCTGTGTCCTTCGTCCATCTCTTCCACTATTCAACAGTGACTGAGCTTTTTTTCTACAAAAACGCCAAAAAACTGACTGACGTCTCTCTCTCTTTTTGTAAATAAATTTACATTCTCACAAGTAAAAACAGTGATTAACTCACATTTCTGCCAAATGTCAATTTATACAAGTACCTTTCACTAACCTTCTCTCTGAGAGTCTTTAAATCTCTCAAGTTCCCTCCATACTCACTTCTGGTTCCTTATATTAACCAAATTCTTCTGCATTTCCATACTTATACTTTTCCAATGATTATTTCCCTCAATTTTTTTCTAATTTTCTCCTAGTTGCAAGCATTTACTTAAAATCCTGCTAATGTAGCAACTTGTTTACAGTATTTTTTGCACATAAACAATAAAGGATTCCTATTCTTTTTAAAACTTCTCTGAGGTTTTTCTGCATAGTCCATTAGGTTGATCTGCCATTCTTTTTTCCATCTCTGGGCTAACAATATTCAGGTGGCTGTTGTAGCATATGCAACTGTTTTCTTCTGTTCTTTAGGAAGTTCACTTCCTATCAATCCTAATAAGAAAGCTTCTGGTTTTTTAACAAAAGTTATTTTAAACATTTTCTTCAACTCATTATAGATCAGTGACTGACTCCTCTAAGATCCAGGGCAAAGTGGAAAATCCCCCCCAGACGTCAATTCCGCCTCTGAAATCACTTTGAAATGGGATGCACCAGCCTTGGGTGTGTCTTCTAACCCTACAATTCTGTGACTCTAAGGTCCCAAGGCTGTGAAAGGCTGGGCTGGATGAATCCCTAGCTGGAATTAAGATTGCCGGAAGAAATATCAACAACCTCAGATATGCAGATGACACAACCTTGATGGCAGAAAGTGAGGAGGAATTAAAGAACCTTTTAATGAGGGTGAAAGAGGAGAGCGCAAAATATGGTCTGAAGCTCAACATCAAAAAAACGAAGATCATGGCCACTGGTCCCATCACCTCCTGGCAAATAGAAGGGGAAGAAATGGAGGCAGTGAGAGATTTTACTTTCTTGGGTTCCATGATCACTGCAGATGGTGACAGCAGTTACGAAATTAAAAGACACCTGCTTCTTGGGAAAAAAGCAATGACAAACCTAGACAGCGTCTTAAAAAGCAGAGACATCACTTTGCCAACAAAGGTCCATATAGTTCAAGCTATGGTTTTCCCGGTAATGATGTATGGAAGTGAGAGCTGGACCATAAAGAAGGCTGATCACCAAAGAATTGATGCTTTTGAATTCTGGTGCTGGAGGAGACTCTTGAGAGTTCCATGGACTGCAAGAAGATCAAACCTCTCCATTCTTAGGTAAATCGGCCCTGAGTGCTCACTGGAAGGACAGAACCTGAAGCTGAGGCTCCAAGACTTTGGCCACCTCATGAGAAGACTCCCTGGAAAAGAGCCTGATGTTGGGAAAGATGGAGGGCACAAGGAGAAGGGGACGACAGAGGACGAGATGGTGGGACTGTTCTCGAAGCTACCAGCATGAGTTTGACCAAACTGCGGGAGGCAGTGGAAGACAGAAGTGCCTGGCGTGCTCTGGTCCAGGGGGTCATGAAGAGGCGGTCACAACTAAATGACTAAACAACAACAACAAGGTCCCAAGTCTCTGTTTCCATTGGACTGCATTATATTTGGGTGACATGAGGGGGCGATAGGAAAACCCACTCTGTGAGCTTTGACTTCCCTGTGGATTTACAAATGCAAGTCTTCGCTGGTGTTGTGGCTGTCAGGCGATGAAGCAGCCCCAAGCGTCAAACCCTTCCCTTTTTGAATGGCTGGTGTCCAGGCCAAGAGGAGAGAGCAGCCAAGGTCCCACTCTTGCCCTCAGCTCTGATCCAGCCACGAGTATTTCTGAGCTGCTCTTTGGCACCTCGGTCAATCATTGCCCCGAGGATGCAATTGAGCTCAATGTTTAACTTTAAATGAAGGGAATGCTCATTCCCAGCAACACTATTTGTGTTAATTTTGCAAGGAACAGAGTAATGATGGCTTTGCAACACAAGGGCTTGTGTTTCGGAGGGGTGGGGTGAAGGAATCTAGCAGAACCACACAAAGAGGGAGGAGGAGGAGGGAGAATTTAAAAGAACCGAATAACATTTCATTAGAGGTGAAATAAATTGCGGGGAGGGGGGTGTCTGGCTCCCAAGAATATTTTTGCAGCTTGAATTTCTTGCAAAAAAATCCGAATGCTTATTTGCCTGATTGGCATTTCCCAAGCACATAGATGCTGTTAGATCCAGGGATTCGAAGGTATAATAAAAAGGATGTTTCCAATTTGCAAATGCCTGACCTTCACCAGGGCCCACAAGGTAAGTTCCCCGAGTGGGATGCCCTTTGCAGACAAGGCAAGGGGGGGTGAAGGCAGCAATAACTCCCACGTCACATGGGCAGTCTATTGCCCGATGCTCCACATCCCATAATTAATCCCCTCCATCCCCAGCCGCACAAGGAGCTGGGAAGCATTCCAGATCAAACGCAGGAGAACCGCAGGTGAAGAACCGAGATTTGAGAAGCTTTCGCAAGGTTGACCATGAGGAATCTTCCATTTGGGCTGGACCACCTTCTGGTCTTGCAAACCGGACAGATCTGCTTGGCACTCGCCCAGGGAATCTTGTATGTCGAGGTGAGCAGTGCCCTTATATCATAACCCCATTATACAGATCTATGGTGCAACCGCATTTGGGATACTGTGTGCCGTCCTGGCCAACTCGCCTCAAAAAAGGATATTGCAGAGTTGGAAAAGGTCCAGAAAAGTGCCGCTAAAATGATCAAGGGGTTGGAGCAACTCCCTGTTGAAAAAAGGCTGCAGGATTTGGGACTTTGTCGTTTGGATAAAAGTCGGGTGAGAAACGACACGATCAAAGTTCATAAAATCATAGATGGCTTGGGGAAAGTGGATGGAGAGGTTTTTCTCCCTCTCTTGTGACTCTAGAAAACATAGGCATCCTAGGAAGCTGAGCATTGGAAGAATCAGGACTGATAAAAGACAGTCCATCTTCATGCAACGCAGAGTTAACCTGTGGAACTCATCACCACAGGAGGCAGGGTTGGCCACCAACTTTGATAGCTTTCAAAGAGGATCAGGCAAATTCCCAGAAGAGAGGCCGGGTCGGGGCCACCAATGTTTCTGAATCCCAGTTGCTGGAAACCACAGGGGGGTAGAGTTGCTCTTGTGTTCGAATCCTACTTGCAAGTTTCTCATTGGGGATCCAGCTGGCCACAGGCTGCTAAACATCAGGACTCTTCATAATGTTCTTGTGTTGTATGAGTATACAGAGTATTCAGAACCTTTTGGGACCTTGACCGTGGAGAGTCTTGGTGGGAGCCATTGCTTCGTAGAACCCCCTGAGAAGAACAAGGAAGGAGTCCATGGGAGGCAGCCTGACACATTCTGGTTTTCTCTCCCCCTGCACTAAATTTGAGCACCATTTTATTTTAAGAATATTTTGAAAGCTGCTTTGAGAGCCGCTGGAGGCTGCAGCAATAGGAGCGTTCCAAAGGAACACTTTGGGATTTATTATTACCCGCTGAATTCAATTAGCCCAATAATTTGCTATTTATTATTCTAAATAATAATTTTGGCAATGCTGCCGTCACGGACATGCATCACTGCCAGAAGCTCCTATGCGTGGGGAAAACCTCATTCGGGGAAATATAAATGTGAACTTTTTGCAAGCCAAATAAATAAATAAATTGGACTTGGGATTTCCCCCCACCCACCTCGAAATTTGTTTCAACTCTAGTGGAAAAACTCCTTTGTTTCTCTGCATTCCTTCCAGCCACCCTCCCTCAGCCTCCTTGTTCTATGTAGCATTATTACTTGGGCTTTTTTATTTTATTTTATTTTGCCCGAAGCACCACCGCCGACTGAGAAGCCAGACCTTCATTAACTTTGTCTCTCACAAATTTAACACAAAGGGTGTTGCTCGGAACGGGCGATATGATAACTCTCCTTGGGCAAGTGAGATCTGCTAATGAGGTATAAAGTAAGAGCTCTGGCGGAGATGGGACAGCAATAAATTCTCCTTGTACATTCTTCTGGGCTACTCCATTAGTTCAGTTCCGTATGTGTTATTTATACTTTCCCACATAATTTATACGGCTGAGGAGAGAGCACAGTATATTTCCTTTTGATAGGACACGAATAAGATTGCGGCAAATCCAATTGAGGGAATACGTTTTTGAGGAGTGGGTCCCAAGGTTTCTATGCCCTTGAGAAGTGTTCTTTGGAGAAGACGTATTCTTTCACAGAACCGTAGAATTGGAGAGTCGCAAGGGACCATGAGGGATGCAGGTGGTGCTGTGGGTTAAACCACAGAGCCTAGGGCATGCCGATCAGAAGGTCGGCGGTTCGAATCCCCGCAATGGGGTGAGCTCCTGTTGCTCGGTCCCTGTCCTGCCAACCTAGCAGTTCGAAAGCACGTCAAAGTGCAAGTAGATAAATAGGTACCACTCTGGCGGGAAGGTAAACGCCGTTTCCATGCGCTGCTCTGGTTCGCCAGAAGCGGCTTAGTCATGCTGGCCACATGACCCGGAAGCTGTATGCTGGCTCCCTCGGCCAGTAAAGCGAGATGAGCGCTGCAACCCCAGAGTCGGTCACAACTGGACCTAATGGTCAGGGGTCCATTAACCCTTTACCTTTAAGGGACCTTGAAGGTCCAAACCTCTGCAATGCAGGAATCTTTCGCCCAGTGTGGGGTTCAAACCCACATCCCTGAGATTAAGAGTCTTATGCTCTACCAACTGAGCTATATGAGGGTGCAGGATTCTGGTTTTTACTGGGGTCACCATTATGGTGGGTGCCCTTGAGGAGGTCTGCTGCCTGTGAAGCCACAGGAGCAAGTGCTGGCCACCAAGATGGGGGGCTTTAAAAGAGGAAAGGACAACAACAACAACAACAACCCCCAGATTTAGATGCTGTCTAAGTGTTCTTCTAGACTCTTGTGATTTAGGATGTGCCATCCTGCTTTAAGCAAAATATGTGACCCATATGGCTTAAGTATTTACGGGGCCGCCTCTCCTGGTCTGCCCCGCAGAGGACCTTAAGGTCCATAAATAATCATAGTTTAGAGGTCCCGGGCCCTAAGGAAGTTAGACTATCCTCCACCAGGGCCAGGGCCTTCTCAGTGATGGCTCCGACCTGGTGGAATGCTCTGTCCTGTGAGACCAGGGCCCTGCAGGGTTTAACTTCCTTCCGCAGGGCCTGTAAGACGGAGCTTTTCCACCTGGCTTTTCATTTGAATTCAGCCTGATCTTTTATTTCCCTTCTCTCCCCCCGCTTTTTAATGAAGATCACCCGCTCAGGGATCCCACAGCTAATTCTCCCCTGGTCTCCTCACTGGCCCAAATAGGACTAATTTAGCCAGCTAGCCCAGGTGATCATCTAATGTTTATTGGATGGATTTTCTCCCTAAATTGATTTTTGAATTCTGAATTTATTGTTACTCACGTTTTATACTGTATTTTATGCTGTTTTTTGTTGCATCAATTAAGTGTTTTAAATTTGTTGTTAGCCGCCCTGAGCCCGATTTTCTGAACAGGGAAGCCCGGATATAAATAACAATTTATTATTATTATTAATTAAACTGCTGTGGTGTAAACCACTGAGCTTAGGGCTTGCCGATCGGAAGGTCAGCGGTTTGAATCCCCGCAACGGGGTGAGCTCCCGTTGCTCAGTCCCTGCTCCTGCCAACCTAGCAGTTCAAAAGCATGTCAAAGTGCAAGTAGATAAATAGGTACCGCTCTGGCGGGAAGCTAAACGGTGTTTCCTTGCGCTGCTCTGGTTTGCCAGAAGCGGCTTAGTCATGCTGGTACATGACCCGGAAGCTGTACGTCGGCTCCCTCGGCCAATAAAGCGAGATGAGCACCGCAACCCCAGAGTTGGTCACGACTGGACCTAATGGTCAGGGGTCCCTTTACCCTTTACCTTTATTTTAAAGAGATTCAAGGCTTACAAGCTTTTGGTGCACAGACTATCGAAGGCTCCTAGCCAGGATAGCTCTGCTTTGCCTTCACAGTTGGAGGCAGTGATGGTTCTGAATACCAGCTGCTGGAAACACGAGGAGGGGAGAGTGGCTCTTGCGCTCGAATCCTGACTGTGGGTTTCACAGCTAGGCGTTTTGCAGCTAAGTAATCCTTGTTGCCATCTAAGCACAGTTAAAGCCCCAAGTTTGAAAGCCTGGAGCCTAAGCTCACCTAGGCGCACCCCAGTTTCTCATGTTCTCTGTGTGTTTCAGGCATCGGGTTCAGAAGCAGAGTGTGAATCTGCTGACAGGTAAGCCAGTTCCAATTTGTGTTATTTTTTCTGTTCTGGGAACATTAGCTTGGGTGGGGAGGAGGGACAGTGCAAAGTTGCAGGGCTGGGCTGATGCTGCCGAGCCTGGGATGGTGTGTGAATTGGGTCCAAGCACAAGCTGCGCATTTGCAACAGAGGAATCGACCTTACAGCCAAGGGAGACTAGTGGCCCATCTAAGCTCAGAATTGCCAACCCTGGCCGGCAGGGGCTCTCCAAAGTTTCAAGACCTTCCTCATTCAAAGCACAGAGCCGTGGCTCTTTCTCAACTGGAAGCTGCTCGTGTGGTGCAGTGGTTAGAGTGTTGGGCCAGGGCCTGGGAAGGACCAGGATTCAAATCCCCACTCGGCTCACTGAGTGTGACCTTGGACCAATCACTGTCTTCTCTCAGCCCATCTGCCTCACAGGGCTGTTGTGAAGAATTAATTGTTGGTTTAAGGAAAACATAAATATGTAGATAGGAGAATTCCCTTGTGCCAGGATCCAGTTTTGTGGCAAATGCTCTTTGGTGCGAGAACCCCAGCAGAGAGTTAAAAATCACAAAATAAGCAGCAAAATAAAGGGTGAAAATATAGGCTGTTAGACCCTTAATATATTCCCTTCCAAGAGAGTTCCAAAATTTCCCTCTTTCCCCAGCATTGGAAAATATCGGTCATTTGGTAAGTTAAAAATTGATTTACTTACAAACTCTCCAAAGGTCAGATTTATGTGCCTTTCCATATATCGGCCAGAAAAGTTGCACAGGCAGTAATACTTAGCTTAGTTACAAAGTGGTGAAAGTTCCTAGATTATTGATAGAGGAACTCAAGAGTGGCTTGAGAGAGCGACTCGGCTGAGCTGGAGCAACCACCTCAAAACTCTTCACATGCTGAGCTTTTCATGTAGACTGAATACAACAATAGGCTTGATTACCTATTTCCTCCCAAGGTCAGGGGAGGTGGCCTAGCTAAGTCTGGTAGGACACTCACTCGCAACCAAGACAGACTGGAGGGGGAACAAAAACCTGCCAAGGGGACATGGCCTTGCTAAACTGGGCAGGACAGCTTACTCTATGGCAGTGGTTTTCAAACAGTGTGTCATGACACCTTGGGGTGCCTTGAATGATGGTCAGGGATGCTGCGGACAACACTGGCCTGTGTCCCTCTTTCCTTCCTTCCCTCCTTCCTTCCTCTGATGTCCTCTTGTGTCTCTGCCTCCCAAAGGCTTGTGCGTCTGTTTGTTGCAGCAGCAGCCCTGGCTGCAAGCTCCCCAGGCGAATGGTGCCTTTGGGGCTGGCCAGGGTGTGCTTCCCAGGACCCTGTGGAGCAGTGTGAGGAGGCAGTACTCCTTAGGATGTGGGGGGGGGGCAGCTCAGAGACCAGGGGTGGCAGCAGCACTTTGTTGGACTGGTCATGTTGTCCCTGATGATCGTCTTCCAAAGCAACTGCTCTATTCCGAACTTAAAAATGGAAAGTGTAATGCTGGTGGTCAACACAAGAGGTTTAAAGACTGTTTCAAGGCAAATCTAAAAAAAATTTACACATCACTTGGGAAGACAGTCAAACTAATACCAGTGTACTGGAAGAAGCAAAGATCACCAGTGTTGAAGCAATGATTCTTCAACATCAACTTCGTTGGACCAATCATGTTGTGCGGATGCCCGATTATCGTCTTCTAAAGCAACTCCTCTATTCCAAACTTAAAAATGGAAAGCGTAATGCTGGAGGTCAACAAAAGAAGTTTAAAGACTCTTTAAAGGCAAATCTTTAAAAATGTAGTATAAACACCAACAAATGGTAAACATTGCTCTGTGAGCGCTCCAATTGGAGAACAGCCTTGACCAAAGGTGTCATGGGCTTTGAAAACACTCGAACTCAGGGCGCAAGGGAGAAACGTGCTAAGAGGAAGGCACGCTTGGCAAATCCACACTGGGATCAACTCCTGCCTCAGAAACCAATGTCCCCACTGTGGAAGGACATGTGGATCCAGAACTGGCCTCCACAGTCACTTACGGACTCACTGTTAAGACTGTGTTCATGAAAGACTATCTTACTCGGCTATGAATGATCGCCAAAGAAGGAGAAGACTCAGAGTAGACAATGCTGGCCTAGTAGAAAAATCTAAGGCAGCAGAATGGCTCTTGGGAACAGGTTGTAAAGAAATGCTGGATTTTATGTCAGGGGAACAGGGAAGGGTTGGGTGCTATTGAATGCAGTGCCAATTTTAGCCCATTTACTGATTTTTCTGCAAATTGATGAACTGTGAACTTTCAGGATCACCCGTGTCAGAGGCTGGTGAGTACAGTAACAAGTTTTTGGAGGGGTGGGTTGTGTCCCTGCTGAGAGAAAAACCAAATACCTGCATTCACCATACTGATATTATTCTTTTCATTTTCAGGTGTGATGTTTATGAAGAGCAGAGTCTGATTGCCTGGTATATCTGGTGCGTGTTTAATATCTGTGGGGGAAAGCATTAATAAAGGATACAGTGGTACCTTGGGATAATAACTTAATTCGTTCCAGAGGTCTGTTCTTAACCTGAAACGCCTCTTAACCTGAAGCGTGCTTTCACTAATGGGGCCTCCTGTTGCCACTGGTGCACAATTTCTGTTCTTATCCTGGGGCAAAGTTCTTAACCCGGAGCAACCACTTCCTGGTTAGTGGAGTTTGTAACCCGAAGTGTCTGTAACCTGAGGTACCACTGTACACTCCAAGACTGATAGATAGATAGATTTATATTTTTAGAAAATGTATACTGTTGTGTCATAAAAACATACCAAAGTGGTTTACACAAAACCACCCGATAAAGAAACATTGAAAAGTGTGTGTGTATAAACACAGACACCATTTGACCCTTGTAGAAGGATGTCTACTTAATTGTCTGCACAGGCCTGGTGGAATGGAGAAGTTTTCAGCAGGAGTTTAAAAGCTGGCACAGAAGGCACCTGCTGAATCTCTAGTGGCAGAGAGTTCCACAGGACTGTGCTGTTTTTTCATACGTGAGGTGTAGGCAAAGACATTAAAAGTCGGAGTCTTGTTTTTTTGTAACTTGATTGGAATGGCTGAACTCACCCATCGGTTTTTCTCCTGGAGAGTCCAAGTTTTCTGAGCTCAGCCTTGTGGATTTTTCTCTGCTTTAGGTTCTACATCTCCCTTTTCTTGGCTGCGATCCTTCTCTGCATCGCCGCTTGCTGCCTGCAGTGCTGGCTGAAACGACGGAGGGTCTTCTCTTCTCAGCGGACAGTCGCCGTGTTTGCCCTCAGCGATGCCGATTCAGGACACAGTGAGTTTGGCGTCTGGATGTGGAGAGAGGATCTGCTTGCATGTCGAGACCCCGCAGGCCCCCCCCCCCGTTGGAAATAATACACAAGGAAGCACACAGATATTAGGTTTATGTTATAGGGCAAAAATTTTGGCCACAACTTTATTGAAATCACAGAATGTGAGCAGTATTGGCTTAGGCATTGATTGGACCTGACTATATTTGACTCCTGCCCACTGTGCAGGAAGTCCAGTAAGGGTAAGCCACCGGTAGGGGGAGCCCTGTCGATGCGAACCAACTCAAGCTCCCCCTGGTGTTCCCGTCGGGGTCGTGTCAAGGCCCTAGCCCCCCAGCCGGGCTTCAGACTAGAACAACACCCCCAGATTCCTTTAACGGAATACCCTTAAGCCTGGACGGGCAAGTGATGGCCACACCTCCCCCACACAAGGTCAAACAATGCCTAACCGCAACCCTAACAAAGTTGTGACGATTGCTACGAGGTAGGCAAAAACCAAGTGGCCAGTGCCAATTTGCCAAGTGGAAAAATTCCTACCAGGCCCCTTGGACAACCAAGGCCACCAACCGAGGTCCATAGCAAGGCCAGTGCCTAACCTGCAAAATAGGGTGGGAGGGAGGGTGATTGAGGAAGCAAGCCAAGAGGAAGTCCTCTGGCTCGCTCCTCTGTTTAAATGGCTCTGGCCATGCCCCCCCGGCCAGCGGATTGGCTGGCCGGGCTCTGACGTGGCTGGGATCCCCCAGGCAACGGAGGACAAAGTCCCCCACCCCCGGTGGGGAGCGGGTGGCCACGCGGTCCACCGCAACACCTCCCCACTGGGAAGTGGAGTGGATTTCTCATCTGGGCTTGTTCAGAGCTCTGGATGAAAAGCCCTAAGCAAGGATATTATGGCATCAGACATTCCAATAGAAAGAAGGAGGGTTTTTTTTACATATGCATCAAACACAGCGAGAATGCTGTTAGCCAAAGGGTGGAAAAGAGCTAAAGAGGAGTGGCACGATAATTTGTTTGAGTATATAGAATTAGTGAACATGACAGAGGTCAGGGACCGGCCGATCAAAAAGTTTAAGAAAGAATGGGACATCTATACATTATATTTAATAATAATAATAATAATAATAATAATAATAATAATAATTTTTATTTATACCCCGCCCTCCCCAGCCAAGGCTGGGCTCAGGGCGGCTAACAAGCAATAATTAAAAACAAGTTGAATGAATACAACTTAAAAACAAGATTAAAATACAACATTAAAATATTGAAACATTAAAATATTAAAATGCAGCCTCATCACAGGAGGAGAAAGAAAAAAGGAAAAAGAAAGAGGGGGAGGGGAGGGAATCAAATTGGCTCCAAGCCAAAGGCCAGATGGAACAACTCTGTCTTAAAAGAACATTGTCCCCACATCAAACCTTTAATATGCTTTGATTAACTCTTGTTATAGCATAAGTCAAAAAGAAGACAAACAACATTTAATATTGGTTAAGTTTATTGAAAAATAGAAGCAGCTAATAAGGAAATAAAGGTCCCACGTGGAGGAGGTTGGAAGTCACCAGGCAGAGAAGAAAGTTACTTTCCCCCCCTTGGGTTGTATTTTTCTTTTTTGTATTGGTAGTGGTTTGCTTGTAATGCTTTTGTGTTTTGGTGTTTCGAGGTGAATGGATGTATTGGCTAAAAATCAATAAAGATCTTTTATCTGGCGCTCACCCTTTTTAACTTTTATATAAATGATACGGTGCCACATTTAACACAAGTGCAATCCCCTGCTCCATCAATTAGTAATAGGAAGATATCATGTCTGTTGTACGCCGATGATGTGGTGCTCTGTTATGTACTGAGTTGAATAGGATCCAAAATGCAGCTGTCTGATTGGTCCTAGAACAATAGTATTCAGAATGCAGCAGTCTGATTGGTCCTAGAACAATAGGATTCAGAATGCAGTAGTCTGATTGGTCCTAGAACAATAGGATCCAGAATGCAGCAGTCTGATTGGTCCACAGGAGCCACCCAATCCAGCTCCAGGTGGAAGGGAATCCGCAACCTGATTGACCTACAGGAGAATCCCAAAATTAGCCAATCACGTGGGGCCCATTGTTTAAATAACGTATATAAAGTAGACATTTCGGGGGAACTTCCATTCCTCACTACTATGAGCTGAATAAAGAGCATGAAATCCACACTCGACTCCGAGTCTATTTCATGCTCCTATCACTCTCCCGATTAGGACTTTAAAATCTGCTCATATGATCATGGACACTTCTTTTCTCTCCCTCCTTCTCTAGAGAGTGACGGCAGGCTGAGGACCGTGGCCCCAATCCACCCTCACCCCCAGTGGAGCTCCTCCGATTTCATCTTTGATACGGTGACGAGGAATGGACCACCTCCGTCCTATGAGGAGATCGTGAAGCCAGGGGCCACCCAGAGGTGCTGCTCAGCTTCCAGGCTGAGGGATGACACGGCCACAGACCCACTTTCATGGAGAGAGGACTCAGAGTCCTAGCTAGAGGGCTGGGCTGGGACATGGGCAGCCCTGGCCTTGGCGAGGAAGCTCCTGGGGCCACCCTGGGCAGGCCACTCTGCCTCAGCTTTACCTAACTCGCAGGGTTGTTGTGAGGCTGAAACGTTGCTTCAATCTGTGCGGAAAGGGAAAAGTGCACGTAATGAATAAAGAAACACTACTTTAGTCAACTGAATGAAGGATTGGATAGCTGATAGTGCCAACGTCACAGGTTCGATCCCCAGATGGGACAGCTGCGTATTCCTGCATCCTCAGGGTTCCTTCCAACTCTACAATTTGAGGATTCTATGGCTCAAGTTGAGCATTGCCTTTGCTGCAGGCCCTACCTGTCAGGAGTTCATCCTCCACTCGAGTAGGACCCTGGCAGAGACACATGCCCAACTGGCATGTTCTCTCCCTCCTGGTCATTCGTTCGGGAGCTTCAAAAGCTTTCTTCAGCCTGAACATCACAGTGACCGATGCCAGCAGACACCGCCACACTTAGGGATCCGCAGAGTTTGCGCATCATGCGTGACTGACCTCAGCAACTCAGCATTTTGGCTAATCTACTTTATTTACATATAAACACACACGGAGCACTGCAAGATGGCTCCCTCTCTCTCTAGCATCAGACAGCAAAGAGAATAAGAACAAAGGACAACAGTCCTACTTCACGGAACACAGTAACACAAACATCCTGTCTCTGTCACTTCCCACTCTGTGGAGTCAAAACATACACCGTCATGTGATAGACAACAATCCCATGACTGCAATCACGGAGCCGGAATTCTAACATTGTGCATTAATTAAGGAGTCCATATCCCACTCAAAATATTGCTGGATCAGAATGCAGGGATCTGCTAGCTGGTTTTTTTTTAATATATTTTATTTTTTACCAACCACCAAAACACAAACACGGAAACCCCCCAGGTGGCTGATACATTGGGTATACAATATTCAATAATATACATATTCAATATTCAATAATAACATATTCAAATCAATAATATTCAATAATAACATATTCAAATCAACCGTATGTACACTTCTATATACCTTAACACTCCTTTAACTTTTAATTGCCCCAAATTGTTTAAATAATTCAATATATTCTCAAACCAATCCTCCTCTTTCTCATTGGCCTTAAACCCTTTCATTCTATGCATCTTCACAGTTAGGTATTCTAAAATTATAATATTATTCAGTTTTTTCCTGCATTGGTTCACCCCTAGCTCTTCTGCATTTTTCCAATTACTCGCTATAACCTGCCTGGCTTAGCAACAAAAATTATGCCCACATTGTGCTGTGATGGAGGTTCAAGTTCGGTTTGACTCTCAACCCTCCCCAGCCTTGTTCTAGGGGAGAAGTTGGTGGGAAAAGTCTGGTGAGAGGCAGAGCCAGCTCTCTGCTTTCTTGGCAAGGCATTCCACCCCCCCCAAAAAAAGCTGGACATTCAGGTTGTTGTTGTTGTTGTTGTTCAGTTGTTTAGTGGTGTCCGACTCTTTGTGACACCCTGGACCAGAGCACGCCAGGCACTCCTGTCTTCCACTGCCTCCCACAGTTTGGTCAAACTCATGCTGGTAGCTTCGAGAACACTGTCCCACCATCTCATCCTCTGTCGTCCCCTTCTCCTTGTGCCCTTCATCTTTCCCAACATCAGGGTCTTTTCCAGGGAGTCTTCCCTTGCCTTCTCATGAGGTGGCCAAAGTATTAGAGCCTCAGCTTCAGGAACTGTCCTTCCAGTGAGCACTCAGGGCTGATTTCCTTCAGAATGGATCGGTTGGATCTTCTTGCAGTCCATGGGACTCTCAAGAGTCTCCTCCAGCACCAGAATTCAAAAGCATCCATTCTTTGACGATCAGCCTTCTTGATGGTCCAGCTCTCACTTCCATACATCACTACTGGGAAAACCATAGCTTAATTGTGAACAGAATTTAATTCAGCTGTGATACCTTTACAGCAGGGGGTTGGACTGGGTGACCATTTGGGTCCATTGGTTCTACAAATTCCTCCCCCTCTCTACTTCCAGATGACCTCTTTCTTGAGCATTTATCCCGATTTGTTTGCATAAGGCGTTCAGGGAAGCAACACCTTTTGTTTTATCATGTTTTTAATATTCTGTTGGGAGCCGCCCAGAGTGGCTAGGGAAACCCAGCCAGATTGGGGGGAGGGGTATAGCTTTCTTTATGGTCCAGCTCTCACTTCCATACATCACTACTGGGAAAATCAGAGCTTTAACTATACAGACCTTTGTTGGCAAGGTGATATCTCTGCTTTTTAAGATGCTGTAGGTTAAAACCTTCAAGCCAGAAGCTGAAAGCCTCTTTGCAGGGAGCCGAAAGCTCTTGTCCTGCCAAGGTGGCAGGCTGTGGCATTCAAAACAGCCTGAGCTTGCCAAGCGCCAAAGTCCCTGAAGTCCACGCAGCCTCCTTGAACCCCCTGACACCCCCGTTGAGCTTCTGACACCCTCACCTTGTGAATTATTCCTGGCTTTGGAGAAAAGATTTGGGAGGGAGAGCCAATCTACAGAGCGGGCAGACCTGTTGGGACGAACCAAAGGCATCTCTCCCTGGCCTGTAGCTGCACCTCTAGAGGACTGCCAAGCCATCAAGATGTGCAAAGCCAGCATTCCTGATGCCTGGAGCAGGTGAATGCCGCTGGTTTGGGGCCAGGTTGCATAATGGAAGGTGCTTAATTTTGGAAATGGCTCTGGTGGATTCCGGTCGCATCGGTTGGCTTCCTCCACAGCCTGAGCCAAGAAGCTGGGGCTCTCACAGGCTGGCTGCACTCACTTTTAGGACAAGGTCACCCACAAGGTTGTGCTCCCTGTTTTCTGAGCAATGCAGAGACCCAGGCGGTGCTTTGTAACTGGGCACAGTCCTTTCCCTTTGATTGCAAGCCGGCAATCAGGGGCTATTTGAAGAGATTGTGTCTGGGGAGGGGAGGGTTAACCCCCCATTGGGTCAAAACACTGGAGACCTCCGAAGAAATCCCCCCCTTGCTTACTTAAAAAAAAAAAACATACATAGAGATGATTGGCAGTCTTTAACATCGTGTGTAGTTAGAATCTACAAATCCAGTGAAAATGGGTTGAGTAAATTTTCATTTCAGGGACTGTGGTTGGATTAATACCGTAGATGGTTGATGAGGTCTAGTGTTATGAGAGAGGGAGACAAAGTTTTCCATCTCCTCTTTGCATTGGAAAGGGTGGCTGGGGAGGCCCGGCCACATGGGTGGGGTATAAGTAATAAATTATTATTATTATTATTATTATTATTATTATTATTATTATTATTATTACTTTCACCTTATGGATCAATGGTGTTGTTAGATAGTAAAATTCATGTTAAATTGCTGTTTTAGGGATTGTTTTTAAAAGTCTGGAACGGATTAATCCATTTTGCATTGCTTTCTATGGGAAAGTGTGCCTTGGTTTTGGAACGCTTTGGTTTTGGAACAGACTTCTGGAATGGATTAAATTTGAGAACTAAGGGACCACTGTAACAGGATTTGCAGAATTTCTACCTCTCTCCTCCGAGTAAACATTAGTGCAATACCATCCCTGTAGACATGGATTGTGCCCTTGTATAGTAGTAGTAGTAGTAATAATAATAATAATAATAATAATAATAATAATAATAATAATAATAATAATATTTTTATACCCCGCCCTTCCCAGTTCAAAAACCGGGCTCTGCAAGACGATGGAATCTGCAGAGAGCTCTGCGACTTTCTCTTTTTGGAACTGGCCATCACGCAGTTGGAAAAATGTGCAGTGGTGTTGCGGAAGGGGAGGAGGGAGGAAGGTCTCTTCTGAAACCCGACAATCACTCATCCCTAATGACCCTCTTTGAGACATGATTTCCTAAGTTATGAGCTGTGATGGGAGATGAGCCAGATTCGTCGTCTCCTCTCTCTCTTTAGCGTTATCAATTTCAAAAGGCTCAATCCCTGATTGAATATCGCAGATGAAGGCCGGTACTCACCTTGCAAAGCTGAATAGAAAAACCATGCTCTGTAACTTCTTTTTCAACTGTTGCCTTGGATATGAGGCAGCCTATTGCCAGAGTGATGCCCCGAAGGACATCAATCTCACCATGCAAAGATTCGGCTCTGATGAGGAAAGCATGAATAAGGCTTAATTTGAGTCGAAATGACAAAGGAAATCGCAACGCATAGTGGCTACAGACTCTTGTGCAATTCCCACTCGAGCAAAGGTGCTTGCTGGGAGACCTTGAGCCAAGCCTGAGTCCTCAGCTGACCTCCCCTACAGGGTTGTTGTGAGTTGAAGCAGAGCACACCCTGAGCCATCATCTGGCGGAGGCAGCAATTGCGTGGCGAGTCCCCCCCCCCAGTGGAAATAAAGACACATGACACAATTATTAAGGTTAATGGGCTAAATAAGGCCACAACTTTATTGGTTACAGGTGAGGAGCAGTACTTGGTTCAGATGATGTCTGAGGATCCGGTGCAGACTGAGACTCCTCTGGTTCCAAGTCTGAGCCTGAGTCCCAGGCCATCACACAGGGAAGGAATGGGGGTGAAGGAGAACGAGAGAGAGAAAGGGGGTGGCAGAAGGAGAGAAGGAGAAAATGGGTGGCAGGAAGAGAAAGGGGGTGTCCTAGCCCTGCTCACCAACACCAGCATTCAAGCCCCCCTCCCCAATGTCTAAGCTCTCCTTCAAGAGGCAGCAATACTTCTGAATCCTGGTTGCTGGAAACCACAGGAGGGGAGAAAGTTCTCGCACTCGGATCCTACTTGCAGGTCTCCCTTTTGGGTATCCCTTTTGGGCACCGTGAGAACAGGATGCTGGGCCAGGTGAGCCATGGGCCCGATCCAGCAGGCTCTCCTGAAGTTCTTTCATTCTCAGATGTTCACACGTTGTGCTAAGCCGTGGCTTAGTTCACCATGGCTAACGTTGGCACAGCACATAGTTGAACTGTGGAACCGCCTGTCGCAGGAGGCAAGGATGCTCACCAACTTGGATGGCTTTGAAAGGAGGATGAAGACAAATTCATGGAGGAAGTGAGGGCTATCACTGGCTGGTCTGATCTAGCAGGCTCTTTCTATATTCTTACTACTTAGGAAGAAATGCAGTTCTTAACTGGGAGGGAGAAAACATCCCTCATTCCTGCCTTAGATGCTCTTGCGTAGCAAGTCCCCCCCCCCCAGTGGAAATAATGACACAATT